AGCAGGATTATTCACAGTGGCCAGCACATGGAAGCAACCAAAGTGTTCTACGATAGATGACTGACTAAAGAAGCTGTGGTACGTATATAGAATGGAATATTAATCAGCCATAAGAAAAGATGAAATGCTGCCATTTGTGACAACATGGATGGACCTCGAAATAATCATGCTAAGCAAAATAAGCCATACAGAAAAAGTTGAAAACCACATAATATCACTTATATGTGGGCTATAAACCTAAAAGCAACAAATGAACAGGACAAACAGACTTATGAACATGGACAATAGACTAGTGCTTACCAGAGGGTAGGAGGGACAGGGGAGGGGAGAGATAGAAGGGGTAAAAGGCGTCAAATATGTGGTGACAGAAAGAAATCTAACTATGGGAGGTGAACACACAGTGTAAATATATATATGCCTTACTGTTAAAATGTACAGCTGAAATTCTTGGATTTCATTAACCGATACCACCATAAAAATAAATAGTTAGTTAGACAGACAGACAGATAGATAGATAGATAGATAGATAGATAGATAGATAGATAAATAAATTTTTTTAAAAAAGAAAAAAAAAATCAACATTTGTTAAGATAAATAAATTTTTTTAAAAAAGAAAAAAAAATCACCATTTGTTAACAGTCACAGTAACAATTGATTCTGACCAGAATCATCAGTGGATGCTAAAACTAGTGGATAATGAGTCTCAAAGTATATCCTTAAAGATAAATTTTTAACAGAACACTCTCATATCTTATTAGTAGAAATTTAAATTAGTACAATTCTTTGAAAAGCACTTTTACAAAATATATCAACAGCCTTTAAAAATATTCCCTTGAACCTGGTAATGCTACATTGAGAATTTATCCTATAAAATAACCCTAAACACACACTAAAAAAAAACTTTATATAAAAATGTGTTTATAGCAGTACTTTTTTTTTTTTTGATGTCTGATCTTATTTATTCGTTACTCTTACAAAATCTCATTTTTGAATAGACTCAGACTTAGAGGTAGAAGCTCTCAGAGTGAAAAGTCTACATCTCTTGGCAATCTGCAGCACTTTTTAAAATAACAGTAAAACAGTAAAAGACTGACGATAACCTAAATGTCTAACCCTGAGAAAACAGTTAAGCACTGCATAGGTATTAAAATAATGCTTACAAATCGTATTTTTGTAAAAATTTCTGATATGATGTAGAGCGAATTTTTTTTTTTTTTAAAGCTGACTTCTGATTCTGGCATTATGGTAGATTTGACAAGATACTTTTTAAGTTACAAAAAATAAAATAGTAACTTTTCAGTGAGGAAATCTGGTAGACACCATCTTAACCAAATAAAATAAACATTGCCAGTTACAGGAATAACTGGCAGCATATGCCTCCTAAAACAAAGCATTTAGCATCACTTCAGTGACATTCCTACCAAAGGAGAAATCATAAGGAAACAGCAAACATGCTGGAATTGATGGATATTCTACAAAATAACTTGTCTGGACTCTTTAGAAATAGCAATGCCATGAGACAGAAAGATGCAGAAACTATTTCAGATTAAAGGAGATGAGAAAGACATCACATCTAAATTCAATGCATGATCTTGGGTTTTCTTTTGCTTTAAAACAATATCGAGAAAACCGATAAAAATATCAATAAAGTCTAGAGAACGGTATTGTGTATAGAAGATTGCTCATTTTACTGTGATTATGTAAAATAAATCCATGTTTCCAAGAAATATACATTCGAGTATTTAAGGTTGGAGCAGTATCGTGTACAATTTACTCTCAAATAATTATATATGTCATATATACATACACATACACTCAGATTAAAAAGAGAGAAAGAGAAAAAGAGGGATAGAAAGTAAATGTAGTGCAATGAGAAATCTAGGTAAAGGATATTTGGGAATTCCTTTTCTATTCTTATAACTTTTTTATAAATCTGAAATTATATCAAAATGAAAAAAGTATATGATTATCCATTAATCTAGTTCACCAGAAGCACTAAAGGGAATGCATGTTTAAATAATCTTAGAATTCTGTTTCAACAAAGTCCAGAAATATTTCAAATTTTAAACAAAAATTTATAACAAAAAAAAAAAGTTGATTTCTCAACTCAAACTAAGATGACCAACTGTCCCAATTTGCCCATGACTGTCTGGTTTTAGCACTGAAAAGTTTAACATCCTGGGAAACCCTTCAGGCTCAGGTAAGCTAGGACAGTTGGTCACTCTATCTCAAACTATTTTCTGGACAATTAAAAATCTAATTAAAATGTAATTTTTAAATTTTATATTCTATAGAAAAAAACAATGTTCTTTCTTCATTCTAGTTTGGTTGGTATCTCCCAATCATTCTTTTAAAGATGTGTATGCACTCATTTATACACAGTAAGCTATGGTATAAATTAATATACTTTTCGGTAGCAATTTGACAGATATATTTAGAAACTAAAAAATGTTCATAAACCTTGAGAATAGTTCTTTTTCTAGGAATTTTACGAAAATATCATAGATACCATAAATGGATGAACAAATAAATAGTTATAATAGTGTTACTTATTACAGTAAAAAAAAAAAAAAAAAAAGAAGTAGAATCGATCCAGAATGTCTACATCTGGAAGAATAGTTATATAAATTATGCTACAACCACACAATTGCAAGCTAAGTAGTCATTTTTTAAATCATGTTCTTGAGAAATGGCATTGCAAAATGTTCATGAAATATTGAAATGTTCATGAAATTTTAAAAAAACAGAATTTCACAAATATACAAAGCATTTATAGAGTATAAAGCCATTTAAAAAAATACATAGTTATGAATTTATGTCTATATGTAAATTAAAACGGGTGCACTATATGCTGTATGCTATATGTGCATATACTAAATATACAAACTATTCTAAATTGGCATAACAGAATGCACAATTTAAGTGTCTACCTCTGGATGGTAGAATTATGTGTATCTTCTCATTTATTCTTTAAATTTATCTAAATTTCTAATTTTCGAGAATGAACGTTATTTTAAACTTAGAAAAAGACATCTAATTATATGCAATGTGATTACACATGAGATCAATTACCAGAAGCTTTCCAAGAAATCAAGTTCATTTTTAAAGTGATACTTTATATGAAAAGCCAAAATGATAAGACTATACATGCAAACATAATGTGGAACTAAAGTTAAAAGTAGAATAGACTGATGTAGAATTTATTGAACCATACATCCTGTATTGAACCATACATCCTGTATTGAACCATACATCCTGTATTGAACCATACATCCTGCTTCAGGTGGGTTCTATTACCTCCCAGCTATCTGGCTCCAAGAATTCCTTTTTTTCTGTGGCTTTCAAAAACTCTTGTAGTGTCACCAAGCGGTCTTTGTTAGCATCAACCTGATTAAAGGAAAGTGTATACGTAAAATAAAATAACCCTAATATTATTTAAACACTAGAAACTGTCTTCTAATAGATGCTACTATATAAACATACAGCAATCAGAGCTAGCCAAACAAGGACTAAACAGAACACTCAACACTATACTAGAATCAGAAAATAGATACTTTACTCTTCTACATAATTAAAACTTGAAAATACAAACTTGAAATATCTAAACACCTGACACTCCCAAAGATCACCAAGTTTGAGTCTGCTAATCTGACTGGTTAGGCTGGTATTATTGTCTTCCTCCCTCACCACACCATGTATAATCCCTCTTGAAGCCAAGTGTTTGGGCAAGAAAAATAACCATTCCTGTAAGATGACTGTTTTAGCCAAGAGTAAAGGAGTTTAAGTACAAATGCTTTCAATATTTTCTCTTAAAAACAAACAACTAAGTAAATCAGAACTGAAGTTGACAACCTCTCCAAACCCTCCAATGGCTCTTATAGACTATGGCAAATTCAGTTACAAAAGTAAACTCTGTAATGGCCAAGGAAATTCATTTGATACTTGGGATGCTGGCAGTCAAAAGAAATCCCAATTCATCAATGTCAGGGGGAAATCACTGAGGCAAACAGTTAACCCATCTATGATGTCTCTATCAGAGTTTTCAGCTTAATAATGTGAACGAGAAATAACTATTTGATGTTATAAACCATTTAGGTATCGGGTTTTTGGATTTAGTGAAAACTGAAACAGACTTTTAAAATATCAAATTTTGGACTACATTATTTTTTACTCCTAAAAGAATGTTTTATAGCTGGCATGCAGTAGCATCTTAATCTTTTAAAATAGTTTAAAGTGGTTACAAAATAATTTTATTTATACTAAGGGAATCTACTAAATATTCTGCATCAAAAATGAAAAATCCAATTAAATACCTGTTCTGTATATTTATTACCTATTTTATGGTAAAATTTATTACAACAATTTGAATAATCCACAAAAATAACATATCTTAAATTTCTAAGACATACCTCATTCATTACATGTTCCCTCATTCTAAGCCTTTCTTCCTCCATTTCTACCATATCATCCTCTTCATTTTTGGGGTCATATACTTTCTCCAACTAAAAAGAAAAATTTTAAACCAACATAAAAGAAAGATAATAAAAGGAAAAAAGAGAGCAAAAACACTGAATTCTTAATGACCTCATTTACCTCTTTAGTAAATAGGGCTTCTAATTCCTGTTCATCCAGAAAGCCATCATTATTGACATCTAAAGTTACCAATGCAAAAAATTGATTTTAATGCCTTAGAAAATAATTAAAATGCAACTATATACAAATGGTTTGCAAAAGTAGTACTGACATGAAACATCAATATGCTACAGAAAATGGTCTCCTTTTTTTACGGAGCCTCAGATGAGTTCAACTGATAACAATTCACTACTTATTTATAATTCATCATAGTTTTTTTAGAAAAACATACCTTGAAAATTTTTTCCAAAAATATAAAGTAAAGCAATATGCCGTAAGAGTAAAAATAAAATAAATTTTAACATTATAGCATAAAGCTTTAATAGTCAAAGAAATAGTTCATTTTACAGAGAATCTTGTTATAAGTCACATGACTCAACAGTAAAAGCAGATATAAAGATACAACTACTAACCTAAAATATTTTATACTGCAGATCAGCAATAAAGACTATTATATTAGGCTAGAGAAAAACTCTAAACATTTACTATCAATAAGACTCAATAGCAGACCTTAGCAGAAATCAATTAAGAGTAAGGCAACTATAATTTTTCGAACGACAGATAAAAATATTAATATTTGTATCAGATTTGTTACCATGTAATTTGAAAAATGTCTTGGGGTCAAAGTCATTAGGATCCAATCCATCGGTCTCTTCCCATACCTCTTTTAGTTGATCTTTGCTTCCCTGTAAATCAATAAAAAAAAAATAAACCTCTCAGAAGATAATCTGTGGACATTATCAAAGTAACATATAAACTTGAGAAACTTTAGGGAATTAAGCATCAAGATTTAAATACTAATAACATGATAAAATTCTACTATCTGGTACAAAGAAGTATTTTCATCTAATCGTGGTTTCATAAAGTCATAATCCTTACTGGATGATTAACTTTGGGATGATTTTCATGCTTTTTCTTCATTTCTTCAAATTTAGATTCTTCTTCTTTTCTCTTTTCTTCACTCAGTGTTTTTAAATATTCTCTCCTTTCATGTTCCTTCATCATTTCATATTTTTTAAATTCTTCATGTCGAGTCTTATCATAGTGTTCCAGGTCACTTGTAGCCTATATTAAAATATTTAAATTAAATAAAAAGATGTGGTTGAAAAATATAAATAAAGCCATTCTTGTATTCTGCATATTTCCTAACAGAAAGTAGTACAGAAGGACCAAAAATACTGGACTCCTTTTTTTAAACTCTACCATTTTATTTTAGTCATAATTATTACCAGAAACGTAGGCATTCAAAGAACCTAAAAGTTTAGACGGTTCCTCATAAGCAAATAATCTACAAATTGATTTGAAAAAGAAGGAAGGGACTGTATCAAATTCATACAATATAAAAAACTAGATTGGTTTCTAAACACTTAATTAAATCTAATAGCACCAAAACAAGAACATCTAGTTTGATAACTCTGTACAGTACAATGTGAGAGGTGCATAAACTCCTATCTAAAATCCTTGAGACTAGATGTGTTTCCAACTTTTCTACCAACTATTTGACAAGGGAACCAAGAATTCTCAATGGAGAAAAGACAGTCTCTTCAATAAATGGTGCTGGGGAAACTGGATAGTCACATGTAAAAGAATGAAACTAAACCCCTGTCTTATACCACTCACAAAACTTAACTCAAAGTAGATTGAAGATTTAAATGTAAGACCTGAAAGCATAAAACCCTAGAAGAAAATATAGGGAAAAGGCTTCTTGACATGGGTCTTGGCAATGATTTTTTTAAAAATAATATACCTAAAGTACAGACAACAAAATAAAAAATAAGTGAGATTACATGAAATTAAAAAGCTTCTGCACAGCAAAAGAAACAATAAATAAAATGAAAAGACAACCTATGGAATGGGAGAAAATATCTGCAAATCATCTATCGAATAAAGGGCTAATATTTAAAATATATAAACACATAACTCAAGAGTGAAAAAACAAATAATCCAATTTAAAAACGAGCAAAAGAACGAACAGACATTTTTCCAAAGATATTCAAATGGCCGACAGGTATGTGAAAAGGTACTCGACATCACTAATCATTAGGAAAATGCAAATCAAAACCACAATGATATATTACCTCATACCCCTTAGAATGGCTATTTAAAAAAAAAAAAAAGATAAATGCTGGTGAGGATATGGCGAAAAGGGAACCCTCATGCACTGTTGGTGGGAATGTAAATTGGTGCAGCCACTATGAAAAACAGTGTAGAGGTTACTCAAACAATTAAAAATGTAACTACCATATGATCCAACAATTCTACCACTGGGTATATACCCAAAGGAAACAAAATTATTAATTATGTCAGAGAGACATGCACACCCACGTTCACTGCAACATTGTTTTCAAGAGCCAAGAGATGGAAACAACCTAAGTGTCCATTATCAGATGCATGGACAAAGAAAATGTGGTATGTGTGTATATATATAAAGTAAAATACTATTCAGCTATAAAAAAAAGGAAATCCTGCCATTTGTGCCAACACAGATGGACCCTTAAGGCATGTAATGCTAAGTGAAATAAGTCAGACAATGATAAATACTGTATGGTCTCACTTATACGTGGAATCCTAAAAAAAACAAAAACAAAAAAAACTAATCACAGAAAAACAAATAAAATTTATGATTACCAGAGGCAGAGGTGGGGGTGGGTGAAGGTGGTCATAAGGTACAAACTTCCAGTCATAAGATAAATAAATCCTGGGGATATAATATACAACACGATGACTCCAGCTAACAATACTGTATTGTATACTTGAAAGTTGCTAAAAGCGTAGATACTAAAAGAAGTTATCACAAGAAAAAATTTTTGTAACTATATGAGGTAATAGATGTTAACTAAACTTATTTTGGTAATTATTTTGCAATATATATGTATGTGAAGTCATTATGTTGTATACCTTAAACTTAAACAGTGTTGTATGTCAATTATATCTCCATAAAACTAGAAGCAAAAAAATAAAACAAAAAAGAATTTTCTAGATTTTAGAAAGGGAAAATGGTACATATACCACATTATAGAATATCCCTGTGGAGTTTATAATCAAAAAGATTAGTACTTCTTTAGCAAAATCTATGAATACTCACTAAGTAGAGTAAATAATAACTATAAATAGACAGGGTAGTTCAAGTCAGATTTTAGTTTTTAGTTTTTTGAATTTTGGAGTCGTGGGTAAGAGATTACAGACCTGTATGTTCAAATTCTTATGTATACTACAAAGGTTAAGCTGTCTCCCTCTAAATATATTCTAGAAAGTATATAAAAGTTATATTTCCACTTCATTGAATTTACTTGTCAAATTACAAAACCTCAAAGGCACAACAAAGACAGTATTTTTTGGAATTATTCTCACCGCTTTGATTAGCATATCTAAATCCATAGATTCGAACTTGTCAGGATTCATGTGGTTTAGGTGATCAAACTGTTTTAGAAGAGCATGATGGTCTATGCCTGTATCTGAAAGAAAATGAGAAAACTATAAATGATAAATTACGAGAAGCTAGAAAAATTAATATCAATAATATATAAGAATAAGCATTCATATTTAATCCTATAGGATTTTATAATACAAAGTTTTAGATCAAGGGTTCATATTTCCTTTTAGAATACTGTACATATTATTCTAGACAAAGATAATGTCCTTGAATTTAGAATGAAATACAATTTAATATGTACATTTTAATGTTATTTCTAGAAAGACTAGTTATCTATCAGTATAATTAATGGCAAAGACTTTTTGTCATAAAACTACCAAATTCCCTACTTTTCACTAGATAAATTCTAATATACTGCCCTCATCAAAGGTCTAAGTAGAATTTCTAAAAAGAATTGCTCTAAAATTTATATGAAAGAATTCTTTGTATGCCGCTCCTATAAATATTTTAGACAATAAAAGTCTAATTCAGGTAAATTCATTTGAATAAAGACTTATTTTTAAAGAAACATCAATTGTTTTTCTTTGTAAAAAATTTTTTTAAAAAACAAGCTACAGCTGTATATTGTAGTTGATTGGATGGAGTGATTCTGGACTGTCAGTTGTATTATAGAAGTGAATGTAGATATGTGTGTTGATTTGTTAGAAGTCAGGATTTACATATATAAGCATGTACATTTCATGTGTATATACATGTGTGCACATAAGTACTTTTACATATATATACATAATGTGTTTGCATGTATATGTGTATAGACATGCATGTATTTCCTACCTCTGACTGATGAAAATGCCAGGAAGAAAATATATTCCAGAAGCAATGAGCACAGCTAGTGCCTGCCCTTGGTCTGTAATATCATTTCCCACTAAAAAGAACCAGAAATGCTCAGAGAAATGGCTGGTTCCAGGACTAGGCAAGGTAGGTGCAAGATGAGCCTGAAACATTTTGTTACATCAGAAAGTAAGAAGCTGCTAAATTTAGTTCAACTAAGCTTTCACTGAATTGTTAGTATGGCACTGTACTACGAGTTTTACTTATGAAGAAAATATTTGTTATAAGGCTTGACCTAAAGGATATAGCAAGACAGTGAAATATATGAAAAGATGCTTAACCTCAAAATAAAAAGAAAATATATATATATTAAAACTTCACTAGTATGCCATTTAACAGCATGGCAAAACTTCTAAAGTTTGAAGATACATATATACATACTCACAGCAAGGCTGTGAGAAATTATTGCTAGAGGGAATGCATATTGATATGGCCTCTATGGAGGTGGAAATATCTATCAAAATTACAAATAATCTTTTGCTTTAACAATTTCACTGTGGGGAACTTTCCCTAAAAACAGGTAGTCTTCTACAGATAAACAGTGATATATGTACAAGAGTGTTCACTAGAAATAACCCAAATGTCCATCAACAGGGGCCTGGTTAAATAAATTATGGTATCTCCATATAATGGAAATCTATGCAGCTGTTAAAAAAAAGAATGACGATGGTCCCTATGTACTAATACAGAAAGATTGTTAAAAGAAAAGTACAAGTCAAAAAATGTGTATTGTATACTATCTTTTATCTAAAAAGAGAGGGAAATAAGAACTTTTATTTGTATTTGCCTATACATGATAATAAAGAAATTCAGGAAGGATGGTGTTAAAGGACAGTGGATGGTGGGAACTGGCAGAGTACAAAAATATAAGGAAGTTTTTTGCTATATAGCTTCTTAAACTTTCTGGGTTTAAACCATGTGAATGTATTGCTATTTTAAAAGCTACAGCCCCCTACCCAATTAAAACCCTTTAAACTTCTTCAGATTATCAGAAATTTCAACATAAATTCTGAATCAATGAGAAAATATTCATAAGTTTTCTAAGCATAACAGATTGCTTTCTTTACATAATGAAATTCAGTCTCTATCTTGGAATAAAGAAAATATTGCCAAGATTAAGGAAATGGAGGTGGTCTAAGGGGAAAGAAATCTCAAAACATCTTAGGCTTGGCTTCAAGGACAGAATTATTTTGTGTGTCTGGCCAACTGAAGTAGTAAGAGCTCAATTTATCTCTTATTGATATCCTTAATTTCAGGATTATGAATATTGGTACTTGTTTTCTAAGGGAATTTAATGCTCTACATAGCATTTCTCTGATATAATCCATTGAGCAGAGATACATGTTTAAAATGCAGATTTTAAATCAGAATATCTGGAGGTGAGAGCTAGTAATCTGCATTTTTAACTAGATTCCCCAGGTGGTTCTCATGCAATCTGAAGTTTAAGAACTATTCTACCAAGGGTAAATGTTCAGATTCTATTAATGACAAGGCACCATGCAAATAACCAACCTATGGAGGCAAGTCACAAGGACATAGGAGCCAGCCTGACGGGTCTTCCATCTGCCAAATATGGTCCCTTGATTCTGATTCACTATTAGAATACCCATTCCAAGATAATAAAGTAATTCACCTATGTTGTCACCTAATGCTTTCATGGTATTATTTTCTCCACTTAAGTCTTTGATTTATTTGAACTTATCCTGATGTATACAAGATGTAGAACTGTATCTTTTTTCAAATGGCTACCCAATTGTACCAACATTATTATTTTTTAATCTATTGTTATCCCACTAAAAATAAGATACCACCTTTGATTCAAATTAAATTCTATGTGTATTTAATTTTACTTCTGGAATTTCCATTCTGTTCCACTGAACTTTCTACTTATATGCCAAAAACATACAGTTTTAATAACTGAGACTTAGTGATATATTTTAATATTTAATATATCTAGTCCTTTATAGGTCTTTTTTGGATGTATGTAGCTTTTCTTGCTCGTTTCTTTTCTCATCTAAACTTTAAAATTAACTTGGCTAGTACCAGGAAAAAAGTACTCCTCCAGGACTATTTTACATTTTTTGTCTATAAGTCTTCCACATTTCTTTATGTTTACATGGGTATTTTACCTTTGTTGGTATTGTAAATGGAGTCTTTTCTTCCATTATATCTTCTAACTAGCTGTTGTTTGCACATATGAGAAATATTGATTTCTCCAAATTGTTTACCTTGATAAATTTTCCTGTTGTTTATATTGTTTTTCAGACAATAACTTTGGGTTTTCCAAGTATATAATTATATCATCTGCAAACAGAGATGGTTTTATCACCTCCTTTCCAACTACTTCACTTCTGATTTTTTCATTTGTATGATTTTGGCTAGTACTTCCAGTGAAATGTTAATTAGTAGAGGTAATAGTAGTCACTAGTTGTCTTGTTTCTGATTTTAGTTACAATTCATCCCTGTATTTCCCCACTAAGTATGATGTGGCTCAGTTAAACATATCTGATCATGTATAGAAATATCTATTGATTACTATTTTATTACTTTTTTAAATTAAGAAGGGATGTTAAATTTTATCAACTATCTTTCTGTATATATGGAGATAAGCCTATGAATTATAAGATTACTTTCTTTACCAAATCCTCACATTTAAAAAAATCTACTTCAGAGCTATTTAATCTTCTCATGGTCTAAAATTAAAAGAATATGGGAGAATGAATAGGCAGAGCACAGAGGATTTTCAGGGCAGTGAAATTACTCTGTATGATGCTATCATAGTAAATACATGCCATTGTAAATTTGTCCAAATGTGTAGGATGTATAACACCAAGAGTGAACTCTAATGTAAAATATGGACTTTGGGTGATTATGATGTGTCAGTGTAGGTTCATCATTTGTAACAAATGTACACTCTGGTAACAGATGTTAGTAATAGGGGAAGCTATGCATGTTTGAGAGCAAGGGGGAAATAGGAAATCTCTGTACCTTCCCCTCAATTCTTCTGTGAACTGTATCTTGCTCTAAAATATTAAGTCTTAATTAAAAAAAAAAATACAAGCTTCAAAGATTTATTCCAGTTTATCATTTGTCCTTTGACTTCATGATTTCCTTTGTCACACTCAAATATTTTTCCCTTATTTCTAGTCATATGATGGATTATAGTATTAGATTTTCTAATATTAAGTCAACCTTGCACTCCTGAAATAAATCCACCTATGATATAGAATTCTTTTGACATACAATAATTTTGGTTTTGACAACAATACATTATAAGAGTGTGGAAGCTTTCCTTCTTTTTCTGTGCTCTGGAACAGTTTAAATAGCATTGACAATCTGCTCTTTAATGGTTTGATAGAATTCCCTTTGACACTGTCCTGGTGTTTTTTGTGGAGCTAGCTCTCTGACGGTTTTTCTATTTCATCTATGGAATTTCTCCATCTGCTATCTTTTGATTTGCTTTGGTGTTACTTTTCCTCTTTTAATTCAGTGGCTTAATTCATTACTTTTCATTCTTCTTTTTTATTGATGTAATGAAGGCTAATCATTATGATTTTTTGAATGATGCGAATGTATTACCTATTCGAAAAATTAAATTCTAAAAATTAAGAAAAGCCAAATCAATACTAACATTAAATTTTGACTAGAAGAACATGGCACGTGCTAACTCAAACTGACCTCAACAACCAAATATTGAAATTTTTCTACCTTTTATTTCGTACTTACCTTGAAGGGAATCCAATTTAGCTTTAATTAGCATTCTTAACCTTCCTACTTCTTGCCTTTTCAATTCATCTAGTTTTGTCCTCACATGGTGACTTACTAAATCCAGCTCTTTGCTTAGCTTCCCACTCTGTTGACAAAAGAGTAAGTAACTTTACTAATTACATTGCATTTTTAGAACAGATACATATATTAAAAATAGGGTTATAACAAAACAGTGATAGATACTCTTGACTAATTCAGATAAATTTGATATTACAAAAGCATTTCTCTTAGAAAGTTCTCAATATGTAACTCTAAAATCAAGATGTCTAAAAGGAGTGAAAAAAGCCTAATTAAAGGACAAAGGAGAAATTCAAAAAGTAACGTGAATTGTAAAATGGCACAGCCATTTGAGAAAACAATTTGGCAGTTCCTCAAACACAGAGTTACCATATGACCCAGCAATTCCATTTCTAAGTATATACCTAAAGAATTGAGAGAAATTCTCACATAAAAACTTATGCATGAGTGTTCACAGTGGCATTATTCATATTAGCCCCAAAAGTAGAAATAACCCAAATGTCTATACAATGGAATATTACTCAGCTATAAAAAGTAATGAGTGTCCTAATATATGCTATAACATGATGAACCTTGAAAATTTATGTTTTCATTCATTATGCCAAGTCAAAGATGACAGACATAAAAGGCCATATATTACATGATTCCATTCATATGAATTGTCCTGAATAGACAAATCCATAGAGATAGAAAGTAGATTAATGGTTGCAAGGGGCTGGGGAGAGGAAGAAATAAAGAATGATTGCTTAATGGGTACAGGGTTTCTTTTGGGGACAAATGAAATTGTTCTAAAATTAGATAGTGGTGATGGTTACATGATTCTGTGGATAAACTAAAAACCACTGAATTGTATATTTTAAAGGGGCAAATTTTATAGTGTGTGAATTAAATTTCAATAAAGTTATTTTTTAAAGTAACTTCGCTTTAGTCATCCTATATATAAATAACTTTTCAAAATTCATCTTTTTTAGGTTTTCTCTTTTGACTACTTTTTTCATCAATAAGTAATTAGATATATGTTCCAAAATTTAAGAAACAAAATAGCTGGTAGTTTACTTTCTCTTGTTTATAAACATGTTTGCAATCACAAACTGCAAGCCTTGCTAGCGATCAGGCAGACAAACCTTTTAGGACTGAGTCAGTGGGGCCCACTGAGGAAGGCAAGGAAAAGAAACCCCAACGAAAGAATGTTCAGAGAAGGAGAAAGAGAACAAGGAGCATATGCTGTTATAGAAGCAAAAAGAGTTTTTTCTGTTCAAAGAGAGAACAGTCATTATTATTACATAAAACAATGGTTCTCAAAGTTTGGTCTCCGAATGGAAATATTTGTGTCACCTGAGAACTTCAGAAATACAAGCCCTAGACTTACTGAATCAGAAAGTCTGAAGGTCGGGTCCAGAAATCTGTGTTTTAACAAGCCCTAAAATCTGAGAACCATTGAGCTAAAATAAAAGAGTTCAATAAGAAAAGGAATGAAAAGTGTTTGCGGGATTTGACAATTAAGAAGTCACTGACAACCCTTCACAAAAAAGTACACTTAGTGAAGTGGTGCAAGCAAAGCCATCTTTCCAGTTAGCAGTGTTTGGGAGGTGAAGAGATGTAGTATGATTCCCCTTTCAACATGCTTGTGGAAAAAAGAAAGGATAAATTCTAACTTTTCTTCTCCAGTTTTTCCTGAGACAAGAGTCTTTGCTAAGCTATTTGTAATAATTCTATTGGCCTGGGTTTTATTGTTTATTTTTACTCATTTCTTTTTCCTTGAATAACTGTTAACTTACTTTATTTTGTCCCTCCCCACTCTCCAACAAGTAATAGGAATTGACTGTGAAAGGAAGACAGTTATAAAAGTATTCCCTATACCAAACCAGGAAGCTTGTTGTCTTCTTTTCCCTGATTATCGCTATTATCCACATTTTATGTGACCCCCAAACAAAGCTCTTAATCCTAATTTAAATAGGTAAGAGATATTGAAAGTTCTACTTTAAATATCATTCACCCCAGGAAATTAATTCCACAGATCAAAGTAATTCTTCAAAGGAAACACATGATTGTTCTAAAGGCAATTCAGGGGAATTACTAGCATAATGCTTTCCCCCCAGAACAGTTCATAGCCTCCAAGAGGAGAGCTGTGAACTAAGAGGCACACACAGGCATTAATGGTTGCCACAACATGATGCGGCTCAGTCTTGCAAAGGCCCCGGAGCACAGACAGAGACAAAAAGAAGAAGGATGTTTGACCAAGAAAAGTTCTTTCAGAGTTCTCTAATTCTGATTCCAGAAACAGGTGAGATTTTTTTTAGGAAAGTTAAAAAGAAACAAAATAACATAAGCAAACAAAACTATCTTGAGAGGTATAACTTAAAGTTTAAAATTAAATGATTGGATTTTTTTTTTTTACTGCTGACTCTAAGGTAAACCCAACTAAACTGATTCATTGCCCTTAAAGGATGCTAAGTGATATAAGTCAGACATAAAAAGTTAAGAACCATATGATTTCACTTATATGTGGGATATAAAACTGATAGCAACAAACGAACAAGACAGAGACTCATGGACAGGGACAGTAGTTTAGTGGTAAGTGGGAAAGGGAGGAGGTAGATAAGGGTAAGGGAGGTCAAATATGTGGCGACAGAAGAAAATTTAACTTTGCGTGGTGAATGCACAATGAAATATATATATGACCTATTATTGAATTGTACACTTGAAACCTATATAATTTTATTAACCAATGTCACCCCATAAATTTAATTTAAAAAAATAATCTCTTGTGTCAGAACTTTACAACTCTTTTTTTTTTTTATTATGAGTACTAAGGAGATGTCTAGGGCTAGGATTATATCTAATAGGGTCCTTAGGAAGGAGGCAAATAGTTAAAGCTTTCCATAAGATATGGCCCATTACCTCTTCTATGAATCTGAACCTGATTAAAAGAGAACAAAACCTATTCTAACCCTTTGGATAGCTTCCTACTGTCCTCACATCATGATCCGAGCCCCTTAACATGATGTTCAAGGCCTTCTGCCCTCTAGCCCATGACTCTTTCCAAATTCATCTTTTAGCCAATCATGGCCTTCACGTCCCAGACTAGATTCCAGCAACAGTTCCTATCTCTAGTGTCTGGTATATCTACTGTCTCTGTAACCTTGTACCTTGGCCTAGGATGCCTCCCAGTCTGTTTCCTTTTCTCAGACACATCTTTAAGCACTGGCATAATATCCACCAAAAATGACTTCCCACCTTCCCCCACTGCTTCATACTGAATTATGTGTCCATCCTCTGTATATCCAAAATATATTATATACTCATCATATATTCATCCTAATAATCGTTTTCTGGATATTATTCTCCCTTGAGAGTTCTTTAAGGGCTGGAAGTGAATTTCATCTGTGTATCCCCAGTACTTAGCTCAGTGTGTGACATGTTCAAATATTTGTTAAATAATTATTTAATTACATTTACCTTTATTTCCTCTATGTCTGCTTTCTGGAGCTTTTCTCTGAAATGATTATCTGTTTCCAGCACATCAATTACTTGCTTGAGATATTCATCATAATAAAGTCCAGTATCCTTCAAATTAAGAAACAAACAATAATGCTTCTAAAAGTTTTTCCTTCCCTGCATCTAAAGATCTCAATTCTAAAGAAAGAAAAAAAAGGAAAAGAAATGTCTAACAAAATGGCATTGAGACACATCTACTTTGATAGTTTAGACAAAGTAAAAAGCTCAAATGAAGAGTTTCAGAAGTCATGTTTTACTGTTACATAAAGGTAGATTTTCTGCACAGCTTAAACAATGAAAACTTTAATAATATTGCTTTTACCCCATTGTTACCTGTCTCTCCTCATTGCTGTCTGTCTCCCCTTTGAATATAATACAATGTTTTCTTGGCTGGTCAGCTCTACATTGGAAATGTATTATGATAAATTCTTCTATGTAATATCTAATATACTAACTACATTAAATAAACATTGGCTACTATTAAACAACATATGCTTATCCAATACTCTTTTCGATGCTATTTCAGAAATAGTTTCTAAACGTCCAGTTTTGTAACTAATAAATATTAGCAATAATTTAGCTAAGGTTCTTCCCACAAAGTTATCTTTATCGTTTCACTTACTGGTGGTTCTATCTTTGCACTGTCCACAGGCTGAGCATTTTTTACTTTTGTCTTGTCTATGTCTATAGGCACAGCTTCAAGAACAATAAGTAGACATAAAACCAAGAGAAAACAATATTGTAGTAGAATGGTCCTCCACCTCATCTGAAATAGATATAATTATAGTAAGGTCCTGTATAGATGTTTTCACACTATATGTACATGCATTCCCAAGCCACATTAATAATATATGCAATTTCATGAAATTGATATAACAAAAGAATTGTAGGAAATGTATTAAAAACAGATTATAACATAAAAACTAATGCTTAAGACAGATCACCAAAGAAAATCAGGGAAAAAATGCTTTTCGGCTAAAATTAAAAAGACAAGGAAACAAACTTTTAAAGTTTATATAGTATAAGAAAACATTTGGTAAATTATAAAAGCTTCAAATAAAGATGGCAATGAGAGACTCAAAATTTTTAAAAATAAATAGCCCAAATTTAAGAAAGGGAGATGTAAGGAAAAACTACATATTTTTTCTAAATTAAAACATTAGAGAGCCAAAATTATTTCTAGATATGATATTTAATTAGCTTCAACCTAATTTTGAAAATAAGGTGCTCTATGAACATAAGTTGATTAAAAGAGATGAATAACTGGTTACAAATATGCTCTTAACCTTATTAAACATTATTTTATCATAGCCAATGATCATTTGCCAAAATTCACTTTGGTCAATAATTTTTCAAATAAATAGGTCAATAAAATATCAAGCAGGATATAACAAGGTTGAAACAAACAAGGAGCAACTACTTCTGGTCCCACAATATGATTCAAATTTTGCTTATTCAAACAGTTTCCACTCCATAAGGATCTTAGCTCCGGAGGATCTACTAAAGAATTAAAATGAATAGAAACCTCATATTTAATTGATTTTATACATATAGACTCATGTTAGGGTTCAAGTTAAGAATAATGATCTAACTATCATTCTGGGAAATGCATTAACTCAGTCTCAAAATCTTAGATGGCCATGGATTTTTTTTTTTAAATAACATGTCTTTATCCACAGAACACAATTTGGAAAAGAGTACATTATCTCATTTTCACCACAACCCTAGGTAGTATATAGGGCAGTGACTCATTTTACGATGAAGAAATTTTTAATTAAAATGATTCATTCACAGAGCACTTTCAAAATTACTAGAACTTACATTTTAGTGCTATTTCTAGTATATCAAATTTTTAACATCTTTCTTGAGGTACAATTCACATAAAATTCACCCATTTAAGATATGAGATGTGTTTTTTCTGTTAAGATGTTTCTCAAACTTCAGTTTTCAAACCTTAAGAATCAAATCACCTGAGAGCTTGTCCAAAATGCATATTCTCTGGCGGCACCCAAGACAGCTCCAATCAGAATCTCTGGGATGTGGCCCAGAAATCTGTTTTAATAAACTTTCCAGGTAAGACCTACCTATGTATGCTCAAGGCCAAGAGTCACTCTTCTCTAGGACACTAGTTCCTCAACATGATGGTTGTCGAGTAAATGTTTTTTCATGATGAAATATATGGAAGCCATTGGCTCAGTGAAGATAAATAGGTTTTCATTTTTGCAAGACTTTCAGAACTTATGATGGGCACTATGCATTATGAATCTCTAAAGAAGGATGGTTTCTCCATAGAATGTCTTTCCACCGTGAATTCCTACAATTCCTCTTCTCACAATTATTTTTTATGGTAACAAAAGTTTATTTCTCATTCATGTTTCATGCCCACTGCAGGTATATTTTGTTTTTTTTCTGAGATATAATTCACATGCCATAAAACTTACCCTTTTAAATTACACAGTTCAGTGGTTTTTAGTGTATAATTACTACTACCCAATTAGAACATTTTCATCACACTGAAAAGGAACCACATATCCATTAGCAATCATTCCCCACTCTCCCATTCTCTCAGCCCCTGGTAAACATTAACCTACTTTTAGTGTGTATAGCTTTACTTATTCTGGACATTTCATAAAAATGGAATCATATAATATGTGGCCTTTTATATCTGGCTTTCTTTTCACTTAGCATTATGTTCTCAAGATTCAACCATGTTGCAACATGAATCAATATCTCATTTTTTTCTTACAGCTGAATAAGATACTCCATTGTATGGATATACCACATTTTATTTATCAATTCATCAATTGATGGACATTTGGATTGTTTCTACTTCTGGCTCGTATAAATAATGCTACTACGAACATTTGGGTTCAAGTTATTGGTTAACATGTTTTCAGTTCTTTTGGTTACATACCTATGAATAGAATTGCTGGGTCAATTTGGTAACTCCATGTTTAACATTTTGAGGAACTGCCACACTGTTTTCCATAGCAGCAGAACCACCAGCAATATATAAGGGTTCCAATTTCTCCACATCCTCACCCACATGTGTTATTGTCTATCTTTTTTATTATAGCCAACCTACTGGGTGTGAAGTGATATCTCATTGTGATTTTGATTCTCATTTTATTGGCTAATGATGTTGAATATCTTTTCACATATTTATTAGCTACACCTTTTACCTTTTTTAAAAAAATTAATTTAAAAGTATCATTGAGTTAGTTGTTTTCTAAAAAAAAAAAAACAAACTCTGAATAGAAACTTTTGTTTACCTTTGCAAGTCCCATGTGCCACTGTAAACAGACTGGCCAGATGACCATTAAAAAGGATAATAGTTTAAAGTGTAATCATTGTTGAAAAGCTCAAATTAAGACTTAAACTGCTCAAATCAATTTTAATGTCTTCTACACACATTTCTGGAGCTTAATTGTGTCTCCATGGTTCCTAATATATGAATAATTGTAAAAATGTTTGATTCAGGAACCCAGGCTTGCCCAGAAAAAAAATATTTGAATAGTCTTCTTATGATATGCACACATAAAGTCAACTCATTTATGTACCTCTGTAACTTCATTCTGAAGACCTCAACAGGAACTGTGACTATCCCTTAATATGAGCTACCCAAAGTTTAAAAGAATCTTTCACATAGACTCCTCCCCTCCAACCCGCATTATCTCCAATGTCCCTTAGGCCCTTTGCCCACCATACAACACACATAAGCAATTAATAAGCAATTCTGTCTAAGCAACTGGCAGCTATGTCACATATTTTAAAATACACTTTTTAAAAATAGGGTTCACCTTTACTTCATCACAATAGAAGCCTGAGAGTAATAAAAGTAAACTACAATTAAATCCAGTTTTGGAAGTGGAATTGCTTGACTAATTTGTCACTTCACTCTCACTCTTCTGCTAAGTCTACCAGAAATAAGAAGGCAAGTCAAAAGAGAAAAGTGTGTGTGTGTGTGTGTGTGTGTGTGTGTGTGTGTGTGCGATGACAGCATCTCAAAGTGACAAAAAGTCTTTGCACATCTACTCTAAAACATTGGCTGAATTTATAGTTCATAAACTTTTAATTGGGCCCCGGGCTTGTTATAAATAGCAATAAAAACCATCTATTGAGTGTTTACTATGTACCAAGCAGCATGTTAAGCTTTTTTTTATATTAACTAATTTAATTCTTAATTCTGTAAAATATATATATAATTATCCTCAATCTAAAGTATAGAAAACTCAGACATATCAATTAAAAAACTTGATCTAGGTCACCTAGGAGTAAGTCATAAAGCCAGATTTTGGAACTAGAAGTGACAGACTCCAAAGCCTGTGTCTGTTTTTAAGCAGTGGTTCTCAAAGTGTGGTCCCTGGGCAGGCAGCATCAACATCACTCAATTTGCTAGAAATGCAAATTCACAAGCCTAACTCCAGACATTCTAAATCAGAGAATCTTTGAGGGGGGAAGGGTACGGGGAGAAGGGGGATACAATACGTATTAACAAGCTCTACTGGTGATTACACGATTCATGCTGCCATTTGAAAACACAGCTTTCCTTTGCTCTATTATTCATGAACCTCCTCCACACAATGGGAGACAAAGAGAATGCTTATCTGAAAAGGAAATTTAAATCCTCAAGGAAAAGAAAAACAGGAATGTACTTAAGAAAAGTAAGGCAAAATTACATTTAGGTCTATATTCGAAGTCCAGCTGCACCACTCACTTGCTATGTGATCACAGGTCAGTCAATTAACTTTCCCGGCTTGTTCCCTCATTTTTTTAAATTATGGATTTTTTTGAAAAAAGGGGAACTTAACTAGATCTCCATGTTCTTTAAGCTCTTAAATCCAATTATCGATTTAGTCTTTTGAATAAATTATAGATCTTTTCTGTTACATTATCAGAAATACTAATAAAATTGATTGCATTTATACTAATTATATGAAATTGAGTTACATGATTTATAAATGTCTTCAAATTAAATATTGTTTATCACTCATCTCAAAATTACATTGGTAGAGCAAGTAGAAGATCTGGGTGCTGGGATACAAAAAATACAAAAATCGACTATCAAAGAAAGTTCCTATCTAGATATAATAAAAATGAAGAAAAGCCAGGACTGTTTCACACTGTGAATACAGAGTATGAGATGTTGTGCCCTTTAATCAAACTTAAACATCTTGCTTCTATGGAAGGAATAAGTTCCTCTTTGATTTTAAGTTTGGAGATTGACAGACTGGCATTTCATTCAAGCTGGATTTGTTTTTAACTTCTGCAGGAAGGAGATAGTGAACTATGACTGCCTTTTCAAAACCAAAACCAGTTTCACTTTTTAATAATTTTAGAGGAAAAAAGACTGAGTGTTCCAGGAGATACTTATACTTGTTTGTTTCAAAATCCAATACAACAGAATTAATTAATAACAAATACAACCAGATGCAAAAGAACACATATTTTATGATTCTATTTATATCAAATATCTAGAATACACAAATCCATAGAGAAAGTGGATTAATGGTTGCTTAGGGCTTCTGGTGAGGGAAGGAGGGAATGAGAAATAACTCCTAATAGGTATTGGGCTCCTTTTGGGGTAACTAAAATGTTCTCAAAATAGATAGTGATAGGTACACAACCTTGTGAATATACTAAAAGCTCCTGAATTGTACACTTTGAAAGGGTAAATTTTATGAAATGAAGTAATGAAAAATAGAGCAAAAATTCTGACCTTATAAAATAAAATGTGGGCATAAAAAAGGAATAAATGCAATTTACAAACCATCATTAACCTATAGGAATATAGAAGTATAGAACTAGTCATACTCTATAACTTTTTCAAAATTATCCAGTTTTTATCTTCTTAATGATTTTTGTCTGCTTGTACTATCATTACTACAAAGTAAGTTATAATCTTGCAGTATAAATATTTTGAGGCTATGTTGTTAAATGTACACAAATTTAAGATTTTCTAGTTTTCTGGTGGATTTAATCTTTTATCACATTTGAGTGACCTTTATGCCCCAATTTGCCTTAAGGTCTATTTTATTTGATAGTAATATAGCTAAACCAGTTTTCTTTTGATTAATGTGTGAATACAAACACGTACACACACACATTTCTTTTTCATCCAGTCTAATAACCTCTGTCTTCTAAGTGGAGTATTTTCTCCATTTGTATTTGATCAAATTACTGAAAATGTCCATAATCAATTCCAAGATGCACAATTCCTCAGTTTAACGTCTTAGAAATCAGAGAACGTTTTTCAGTTGATGGAATATTAAAACTGTGGTTGATCAAGTGGCGATAGCAACATAATCTTTATTGTCTACACATGCAGGAACTTTAACATAGCTATTCTTATTGCCATAACTTCAGATTGTGTTTTTACATTGTTGGTACTTCACAAATTGAGTTTAGTTACCATTTTAAATGTCTTCAAAAGATTAAATTACAATTTGGAACTGAAATGAAAAGTTATTTTGTAAACATAGTAATGTAGCAGCTGACATTCATGAAATAAATATTTGATGTTAAAGGAATAACATCATTTTTACATTTTCTTGCAAAATAACTGAGTGCTTTACCTGACTTTAGATAGAAAGATACCCAAGAGTAGACAAAGCTGTGTTACATTTTGTTATTGAGATGGAACAAGATACCCATGATTCATGCATGCATCATTAAGGCAAATGTCGATTTGTCAGAAACTTCCTACTATCATTGAACAAAAGTTGCATAACTTCCATGTAATTTGAGGAAAAAACAAAGCTGAATTTAGTCAATAGGAAATGCTGACAAAATCCTGATGTTCTCTTACATGCCTCAAAACGATACACTAATGCTAAAGGTGCCAGAGACCGATATCCTGAGAATGGATTAGGAAATAGTATATCACTATAACACTATCATAAATGCTTATGGCTAAAAGTTACTGCCATATTAAATTTTAAACTACAAAATAATTTCCCAAAAATGTTATTGTATGCAAAAAAGGCGGGGAGGAGTGGCAGGGAATGGATGATGGCTGAGCTAAAGGATGGCTGGCTAAATCTGGTCTGAACGTCCTTCATAACCTGCCAAGTGTATTAGTTTAGTTCTTGATGCCTTCTAAAGACGTGTATCTAAATATTTAAAGAATAAGTTGCCTGAAAAGTAACAACTTGATGTTAATCCTCATGCCATGTCTAGACAACTAGAAAACCTCAGCATTTCAGCCAACAAACCATTGAAGGAGAAGTTGAGGAAAGATGATGATCTTAAAAATGTCCATTGTCATCTTTTGAAAGGCACTAGCATCAAAGCTTGCAAAATGAGTGTCAGAGGCTTGGAACAAAATTCTAGGCAAAGAGGCTTGAAGAAATTTTCAGAAGAAAATCACCCTCACTCCCCATAGTAGGAAGAACAATTCTTTGTGGAAAAACATTGACATTGACAGGTCTGAACCAAGGAAGCGTTTTAAAAGAATGAGACTATGAATGTGATAAAGTCTTAGAAATACCTTAATAAATTTATTTAACTTGTAATTTATGTATGCAAAAAATGATGTGAGAAAAATCTGTACATCTAACTGAATCTAAAGAAGCACTTTCATTAAACATAAAATGAAATTGTAAGTGATAAAGCATAGTGTCATGATTTAATTGGCAGCTTCGTTCTACATGGTATATAATGACATGTCTTTATGTCAAGGAAATATCGCATCTTGAGTTTTAAATGTACCATTTTCTTTTGGGCTTTCTATTATCCTGCCTCTTTAATATTTAATTCTTCTCTTTTCTTGCCTTTTTGTCTTGTTTTGTTTTTGCTTGATAGAGAATTTTTTAAACACTTCCCACCACTAGTTTCTAATCTTTTAGCGTTTGTTCTAGAAATAATTAGGACAACTAACTTACTGAAGGCTAAAGTTAAGTAAAATATTTACTCTACTCCTTAATAAGGATTCAATAAATGTTAACTGTTGTCATAAAAGAAATGGAAAATGTTCTAGCACATTAGGTAGAAAAGTAATGACATAAAAATCTTTTTAAATACCAACATAATGTCAAATGTGTCAGAGAAGGGTTTACAGATTTTCATAAACCCGATAATATACAAATAAATGTCCATACAAAAGGAGAGATGAAGGATAAGGACAGGCAATCGGAATGGGAGACTATCTTACTTTTTTTCCATTATTGGGTCGGTAAGAATGATTTTCTCCTGTCTTTTACCACCCTCTTCTTCCATAAGAACAGAGATCTAAAGAGGAGACACTGGGCTGAACTAGGCTGAAACAGTAGTCTGATCCAAACCAGAATGATTAGAAATTCCAAATCAAGCAGTGATCTTAAGACTGCATGGAAAGCACTGATCCCAAGAGTAGTGAAGCCTCGAGCAAAATTACAGAGGAAGCAGAGTTCTTAAGCCTCTTCTAGCATTCAATAGGTACAAAATGATTTCCCTCAATTTCCAGGTCCTAAAAGAAAGCTTATCTCTCCTCTCCTGTCTCCACCAAATCAAAACTCCCATTCATACATAGAGGCAGATCTCTTAACTATTGATTCATACCAGTAGCTATCTAGATTAAGTTTACTTAGTGGGTAGGTGGGTGGGAAGAGGTATGTATCAGATAGTTTCCTGTTTTGAATGTAGGGAGAGAGATCTTGGAAGTGTTTAAAAAGAATGGTCATGAGTGAGAAGGGTGAAGACTACAGAAAACTGAAACTAGTTTATCTCTTTCGTTATGATAGTCTCTCTTCCTCCCTTAACCCTCTTCTTTTACTCCTCTTCTTTTTAAATTTAAGGCTGAATCGAAGTACATTTTCTTTCATCTGTTCTATGTATTTATTAATTTAACAAATATTTATTAAGTACCCACTATGTACCAAATTTTATGCTGGATACAAAAGTACGTGAGATAGACATAATCCCTACCCTTGTAGGACTTTCAATCTAGTATGGAAGGCAGCCTATGAAATAAGCAGTTGCAATTGGAAAAAAGCTGTTTACAAAACAATGCATATCATGATCTTTTTTCTGTTAATTAGCAAATATCTAAAGGCATTACAATTGCATTCGGCAAATAATGCTAAATGTCTCTTAAAAACAAAACTAGGCCATTTTTATACTTATAAGCCTCCTGATTATTCTATTTATTTGGGGTCAATGGTTCTAGATTGGAGGAAAAAGAAATTGAAGTACTAGAAGCAAAAGAATTACTATACTTCGCCCCTAGTTACACAAAGAAAAATTCAAAATCTTGCAAAAACACAAATATACGCCATAGAAATAAAATTTTTATTTGCTCCTAATCATCCTTCTAATGTCCCTGAAAGGGCGAATGAATCTTTAAATTGTTTCCCCCTCTAATTTCCATTCCCTGAATTTTCATTTCCTTTTCTTGAAACTATTTTAAGTCTCTTTCTTCACAGATATAGTTAGTGGCTACTGAACCATTTCATATGACAAGTATAGGGTATGTTCACATAATATTAACAAAGAAAAATCTGGAATGAAATAAAATATTGTTATACTAAGTTAAGCAAGGACTAGTAGTTAATAAAGAAGAAATTTCAAGATAAGTAAGAGTTAAGTGGTTAAAAAAAAACACAACTTCTAAAGAATAAGGAAGGCAAAAGTGTGCCTCATGTGACCATACTGAACTTAAATGTATCTTGAAATGGATTATACCTTTCAATGTAAATTTACTTTCTGATTATTTGTTATGTGATACCCTTATCTGTCTTTTTAGTGCCTTACATAAAGCAAGTGGCTCAAAAAAATGTTAGCTCTTCTTTAAAACATCCATAAATTACACAACAAACGTCTATTAGCATTTATGGGTAATTTGAAAAGATAACCAGAATAAATACCCAACCAAGACAGAAAGGCTTCTACACAGTAAATTATGGGATAAAGGTTAAAAAAATAAATAAATAAAAAAGAAAGAAAGAAAGAAAAACACAATTTATTAGATGAAAGTTATTTCCTTCTGGACAAGGTCAAATTAAGGTTCTGCCGTGGCAAAGTACTGAAGTTTCTGTAAGTGGTTATCGTAGTTTACAGTTCTCAGAGATGAAAGAGAAAAAGATCCATACTATGGCAGAGACTTCGATTTGCCTGCCAATATCCAAATCTTCCCTTCCTTCTCAATAACAAAAGCCAATTTTATTCAGGGCAGCCATGCATCCAGCTACATTTTCCGGTTTTTCTGGTAGCCTGAGTTTTGGTTCAGAATGTCACCTTAAAAGAACAGGATACATCCTTGTCTTTGCCTCACTGCCTGGAATTTGGCTATGATAATTAGAGCTCTCACAGCTATCTTGGACGACAAGGACCAGGGCCACACCTTAGGAATAGCAAATAAAAGAACTGGAAAAAGCTTAGGTCCTTGACGACTTTATGAAGCTATAACACCTAATATAGACAGCCTACTTCAAGAATTATTTCACATGAGAAAATAAATATTGTGTGTTTAAGCCATCATTAAGTCCAGTTTTGTTTTTTTGCTTTCTTAACTGATCACTTACCTTCAGCTAGGTAAAGAATTTTTATCTCCTTTTTACAGACGAGACAACTGAGAACTAGAGAGGTGAGATGACCAGCACAATATCAAATTTGTGAAGAGGTAGGTCTTATCTCCAAGCTCAATGCTTTTCACTGATTCTTAACAGGGTCTTGGCTCCAAGCTCAATGCTTTTTCTCTGACTCTTAACAGGTTCTAAATGTAAAAAAATTAAATGAAAACATTAAATATAAACATAAATTTAGCCTTATTACAGTGGTAATGGCACATGATAGTGTGCGCATTTGTCATAGCTTGTGAAAAAAGTACCAAGTTTTTATGGTGTGGAAGAAGACTAAATTATACCATATTCCAGCACTGAGGGGAGAAAGATATATTAAACAGAATAGAAGACCAGAATAAACAAGATATTGATTCGTTGTACCCAGGTTTACCATATTGCTCCCCTTTCAAATAAACAAGAAGAATTCCGACTAAAAGCTTATTTTGCTCAGCAATAAGACATCAAGATAAAATGTTGTTTTTCCATTAAATCCTTAACTGGAATCTTTCTTTATCCTTACCACCACTTTTAAAAATTAACCTTGGCCCCAGCCTCAGTCAGAGATCAGTAATAAAGCAAAACATGTCAAACTCTTTTTTGAAACCCCACTACCTAACTGTAAAATACAAAGACAGTTAGCTCACATGCAAACTCACTGGTGAACACAATCAATTATTTCTAAGCAATATGTAAGAAAATAAGCAAATAAAATATCTCCATATTATAAGAATATATATATTTCTTTCTTTTTATGGTAAAATTACTATAAAATCATATAAGCAGGAGAGTGATCATATGCATGTTATATGTGGGAAAGGCATATGGCCTTTATCAACACAGTATGGTCAAAAATAAACAAACAGCAGATTGAATCCTAACCACTCTCATTTATTAGAAAGCTACTTGCCTCTCTGAGTCTCAATTTTCCTATCTATAAAACTGAACTGATACGTCTTCATAAGTTTTTGATCAGATGAAAATAAGAATGAATACAACATGAGTAGCACAGTACATAGCAAAAGTAAATGCTCAATAAATATTAATGCCTTTCCTGTCTTAAAAATGAAAGTTATATATTGAAATAATGAAAATCTGTTCTGCAAACACCCAAATTTGTAAACCTTAAAAAGCAATAAACCAGTTTGACATATAACCTTTAAATGTCAGTTTTTAAAGGGCCAGTTTAGAGCTCTCCTTTGAGCATTGCCACAACTAAAGTCCTGATGCAGCTATGGTACAATGAAAGAATACATCCAACAAAAGAGGAGCACAATCTCTTCCTCCCTGGCGTTAAAACAGAGCTTCACAAGAGGCCCAGGTTTCCTTCTGCAAGATAGTGCCCTGAGCCAAGAAACCTAAGTTACTCAATCTAACTGTTGATGTCATAATTCTAACAGTGAAAAGGAGTGGGGTGGAGGAAACTAAATGGCTTCCAAGTTTCTTGACGGCAGCAATGACAAGGACAACTGGTAACCTGATATTTGACTCCAGTTTTCCCCCTGAAAATGAGAGTCAATGAGAAAGCGAAGTTCAAAATAAAATGACATGTATGACCAGCTGAGCTGAACTTCAATCCTGCCCTGTGTCAGGACATTAGTGTAGATGTTAGTGTCTCTGATGTTTGTAGCTGTAGAAAAGGACATCAATCAAAGAAACCATTATATGGCCTTTTTTTCCACTTAACAATCAGTTACAGTATCCTTGATAATAGGCTTATAAAAAGTAGATACTGTTGTTCTTCTGTATCACTCAATTAAAAATTTATTAAAATTACAATGTCTTCATTATTTATACATACTTACTTCAGGTAACTAAAACACAATATGTCAAAAAACTGCCAAAAATGGAAGCATGCAACTGCTGTCTCAATCGGAGAATTCTGGGACCTGAAATGATCTTAGAAGTGGTTTGATTCAGACCCTACTTTTATAAAAGTTTATAAAACACAGGAAAGTTAACTGATTTGGCCATAATCATTTGGGAGAGCCAAGAATCTGGCCATCAAATTCTAATTAAATATACTTTTCATCATATCATGGTGAGTTGTTTTTTTTAAATTTTAGATTGAAGATCATTAAACTGAGGGGGGTTTTTTCCCAAATGAATTATTTGAAATTGTTAGAAGTCTTTTTTTTAGGCTATAAATTAATTGCATGTATTAAACATAAAAATAATAAATTTCCCCTTTCTAGACCTTCGATTATTTAGAAAAAAATTAATCACCTATCATGCCAAATATAGTCAACACAATGAACAATGCTTAAAAGATTTATCTACTTTAAGGATTATTTTCAATACATTTTAAAATCCTTCACTTGATTCTTCCAGCTACTCAACACTTACAAGGGTATTTTGTCCACCTAAAGCATTCAAAGGGTCCTTTAAAAGTGGAAGACAATTTAAATATTATTTGAAATAACACAAAATTGGTTTGGTATATCTATAGAGATATATGCAACATATGCCAAGACAAAAAGACACTGGTATTAATCATGTTATTGATACTTTATATTAGTGCCCATAATCAATAACTAGTGTTTTGAAAGCTACCCTCATTGCCGTAATTGTGCATTTCATATTAACTGGTCTTTACAGACCACAAACCAACTTGATAAAAAGCATACTGAAAGGGTATATACAAAATGTGTGATATGAACAATAAGTGTCTCAGGAGATCAGAGAAAGGTAAACATAAGAGGACCGAGCCTTGCAAGATGGGTAAAATTAGGATAGATGCTGGAGAACAGTATGAGTAACCAAACACAAGGAGACAGAAATTAATTTTTCACTCATACTAGAAAATTGGACCAGATCATGGAGTTTACAGACCAAGATGAAAAAGAGAAGTTTCCATGTTCACTCTAATAACAATGGTGATATTATTTGAAATTTCATTTCTAATTCTAAATGTCCATGTTTGTTAATTTGTTTAAAGTCTTGACTCTATTAACTGGGGTAATGTTTGTTGAAACATCTGTTTCAACATTTGTTGAACTTGTTCAAGTTTTATAAAACACAAACTCACACTCAGATTAAATATGGATGAATCCTAGGACAATATCTATACAGGGCACGGTGCATGCTAAAATCTGGATATTGTCTGATGCTAATTATTTAACAGAATTCACCAGGGAAGGCCTTAAGAAACAAAAAATTTTAATAGGTTGTAAAAGAAGCTGTAGGTATTCTGATCCAAAGCTATTATACCACTAGTCATGCCACTTTTAAAGAATTCCTTAAGGCAAATGTCTCATTAATTCTTTCAATTCTTATAGGGAAAGTCCACAATCTCCTTCAAACAAAATTGTCTATTAGAAATATTTGCATTTAACCTCGCCCTCTCTCCACCTTTTTTAAAACAAGGTGTTCGTTTGGTTTTCATATTCATCCATGGATTTAAAAGCCTTAACAAAAGGCATAGATGGCAGCACTTACTTATTCAATTGTGTAAAATGTACATTATCCAATTTAGGAGTTTAGTGGACAGCACCAGCCACATCAATAACCACATTTGTTCACCGAGTTTCCACTTAGCAGGTGCAACAAGAAAGTGCCATCTTTCTCATACTCTGAAACCGAAAGAGCTCATCGCAAACCCAATGATTTGTCACTTAAGGGAAAACAATATCACAACTGACACGAACTTTCTCCCCTCCTAAGTATTAAGGGTTGCCGGCTTAACAGAACGGGCAGAAGAGCAGGATTCACCGGCCTAGCTTTGCTCTGCGGCGCAGGGGGTAGTAAGCATCAGCTGGGAATTGGTGGGTACACCCTCCTCACTAGTTGGCACCTCCCTCACCCATCGACCTGCCAAGGCCAGATTGGAATCCCGCCGGAGTCTCGGTCTTACACCCACCCCCGCTTGCTCCCAGTCAAGAGCCGGCCACCCTCGACCCCTCAAAAAGCTTAGATCCTCTGCAGCGAGTGGAGCGGCAGAAGGGACCCCATGCCCCATGCTCAAGCTGGAAGCCCCCTCCCACCCGTGCCGGCCCACTGTGCGGCCCCCGCCATCCTCATTGCCCGGGCCGGGCTGGCAAAGACCTGAGCCTTATCTCAGAACCCGCCCCAACCCTCCGCCGTACTGATCCGCACCCAGCATAGGGTCACCGCCCTTACCTAGCCCCAGTCTCGGCGCGCGAGGTTCTGCCAGCTGAATGCCTGCAACGCACGGACCTGTCTCTCCAAATCCCTGCCCGCAGCTTTGCTCAGTACCTCTGCCCACCGCGCGCTCCCGCCTCCTCGCTGCCATGGCGACAGTCCCCGCCCCTAGGCAGCCGCTAATTGGTCTGACTGGGATCACGGAGGATGCTGATTGGTGGGAGCGGAGATGAGACCGCGCCGGCGGGCTGGGAGGTGGACGGCTTGGAACGCGAACGCGAAGAAGCCTGGGGGAGTCTGAGCCAAGAGGGACGTGGCGCTCTGCGACGCGGGCGGAGAAGCCGCGCCCCTTCCTTCTTTTAGCTTTCACCAAGCTTGTAGAGCAGGATTTGGCCGGGTGAAGTGCTACCCGGGAGCCGGGCCCCAAAGATCGCTTCTCCCTTGGCTGCTGGCCTGCGCTGGCAGCCCCCAGACAGATCAGAGACGTGTTCTCAGGCCCATTTTCACCCATAGGCCTCGCTAGTGCCTAATACCCCCAGGCCTCCTCCATTGCTAGACTTAACTCGTGTTTCCAGCTTCACCCAGCCATCCCCCTTATGCTGGGCCCTCGGCCGCTGTGGCTTGAACTGCTTTTTACTCCACCTTTTACACCCATTTGCGGACATATCTCTTATCTCCACACCCTCCCCTCATAGGACTGAGACATCTATCTACTCTACAACCCTCATTTTAAAGATGAGGAAACAGGCTCAAAGATCAACGTGGCTTGCGGGTTAGAGAAGCTTTCCGAGTTCCGACGCTGGTTTCAAAGGCTGAGTCTGCTAAACAATAAGCACCTCTCTGAGCCTCAGTTTTTGCACTTGTGAAAAATGGCATCATCTACATCAGAGTAGTTAGCAAAAATTAGATGAGATAACATTCCAAAAAACCAGAACAGAACCTGCTGCATATGTTAATATTAGGTTTTCATCAGTTAGATTTTTATCACTAAGTGCACCAATTTGGAGCCAAACTGCCCGTTTGCAAAACCGAACTTTACTTATCGCAAACCAACTCCATGACTTGGAGCAAGTTACTTAAGCGCTCTATACCTCAATTTCCTTGTCTGTAAAATAGGAATAATAATACCACACTCCTTACAGCATAACAAGTTAATAGAAAAGTGACTGGATAGTAAGTGCCCAGTAAATATTAGCAATTCTCGCGTTAGTGGCTGAGCTAGGACTATAATTCAAGTCTCTGGATTCCAAGACTAGCGATCTTTACTCATATACTTTTCATCTACATACTTAGAACAGTGCCTTGAGGTTAAGCCAAATACACAGTGCCTGGTCCAGGCACTAAAATTTGGGATAGACTCTTTAATAGATTATTATCTGATAATTAGCTAGATTATTTATAGTAACCCAATCCAGACAAAGAATGGAAAGTGAGAAGATTGGATTAGTCCAACAATACAGTGAAAGGAAAAGGATAATGAACACTAGCTTGTTGACTGAGATGCCAGCATTATTCTCAGCAATATTCTGAGATGAAGGAAAAAGAGAAAACAAGGAAGACAGGGCAAACAAATGGCAAGGTGCAGGATTAGGAGAAATCACTAAGGAAAATATTTCAGAACATCATGTGCATATATAAAGCAGGTGATAGCATCTCTTATAAAGATTGCTTTGTGGTAGAGAAAAATAGGAATGTTGATAGTGAGCCCCGGAAACATCCTATGATCTGAGGAATTTATGAGGAAATGTTACTTCACTTAATAGGTAAAACGCTGATGGAAAATCTCCTGATGGGGAAGAGGACTGAAGAACATACCTACTACACTGTACAAGGGAAAAAACAAGGCTTCGGGTCCCAGCTTTGCCTGGATTAAAAACCCAGTTCCACTTTAATTAGCGGAATGTCTGGCAAGTTACTTAACCTCTCTTCATAGCATAAATTCCCCTTCTCTAACATGGAGTCAATAATAGCTCCCACCTCACAGAATATGAGGATTAAATGAGTTTTTATTTGTAAAGCAAAGCGATGATTGGCACACATGAAAAAACATTGGTCTCAGTTTCTCCATCTGAAACCCGGGATCATAATACTGAACTTATTGTAAGGATTCAAATGATGTATGTAAAGTGTTAGGAGATGCTCAATAGATATTATTTCCCTTCCCTTGTACCCCCTACACCCCTGTCACCCCCCATCCTGTTACCTTTGAATCCCTCTCTGATTACCAATGTCACTGCTATCAAGGGCCTGTTGCTCAACCTGGTCTAAACAGGGATAAAATATCTTTCCTTGATTTCCTTTGGCTCAGCTGAGAAACTCAAAATGAGATTACTGGAGCCCAGGGGAAAATAAAAGGGAAACAACTCCAGAGAACCAGCAGATGTGAAGTCTACCCCCATATAACATCTCTTGGTACTCCAGCAGGGGAAAAGAGTGTCAAGGAGATTCTGTCAATTTAACACTTCAATTTTTCCCCTTGTCACTTTTAGGATCCCACAGAACATAACTAGTTAAGTTCTTCATTGTGTTCCAAAGAGGAAAGAGGGAGGCGGTAGTGCACATTTTCAGGAGACAGTAAGTAATCAGAAACAAAGAAAACTCAACAGTACACTGTGCATGGGAACCAAGACTTCTAGTTCTATTGTCTAGATCAGAAGTCAGCAAATGATGGCCCTTCAGGCCAAATCAACCAACTGCCTATTTTTGTAAACGCATTTATTGAAACACAGCCATACTCAGTAGCCACACTCACTTGTCTATGTAATATCTATGGTTGCTTTTGTACTACATTGGCAGGATTGAGTGGTTGTGACAGAGACTATATGGCTCTCAAAGCTGAAAGTGTTTACTATCTGACTCTTTACAGAAAAAAATTGCTAATCCCTGATTTAGATAATTTATCCAGAATCATCTTTTTAGTATCCCCAGTGCAAAAATTTTTACCTTCATCAAATCTTCTAATTTATTGCTTCTCAAACTTTAATGTGCATACAAGATTACCCGGGAGTCTTATTAAAATGCAGATTCTGATACAGTAGATCTACAATGAGGCCTGAGATTCTGCATTTCTAACAAACTCCATGTTAACACCAAAACTTCTGGTCCCTGAATCAACTTAATCCCATAGTTTTTTTTTCTTTTCTTTTCTTTTTAATTGAGATATAATTGACCATAACATTAGTGTCAGGCGTATATCATAATGTTTCAATATTACTTATTCAATATGTGTATATTGCAAAATGCTCACTACAATAAGTTTTCCCAACACTATTTATATAACATTTTCTTTATCCATTCATCCATTGATGGATATTTAGGTTATTTCTATGTCTTGGCCATTGTAAATAATGCTGCAATGAACATGGGGTTGCAGATATCTTTTTGAGTTACTGTTTTCATTTCCTTGGGATAAATACCCAAAAGGAGAAATACTGGATCATATGGTAGTTCTATTTTTAATTTGGGGGGGAACCTACATACTATTTTCCATAGTGGCTGCACCAATTTACATTCCCACCAACAAAGCACTGGGATACCCTTTTCTCCACATCCTTAACAACTCTTATTTCTTGTCTTTTTGATAATAGATATTCTAATAGGTGTGAGATAATATCTTATTGTGGTTTTGATTTACATTTTTCTGATGATTTGTGATGTTGAATATATTTTCATGTACTGTTTTTGGCCATTTGAATATCTTCTTTGGAAAAATGTCTATTCAGTTCCTTTGCCTGTTTTTAAATTGTATTATTTGAGGTTTTTGTTTTTGTTTTTGTTTTTGCTATTAAGTTGTATAAGTTCTTTGTATATTTGGATATTAACCCCTTATCAGATATATGATTTGCAAATATATTCTCTCATTCTGTAGGTTGCCTTTTTATTTTGTGGATGGTTTCTTTTGTTGTGCATAAGTTTTTTAGTTTGATAGTGCCACTTGTTTGTTTTTGCTTTTGTTGCATTCACATTTGATTTCAAATGCAAAAAGTTATTGGCAAAACTAACGTTAAGGAGCATAGTGCCTATGTTGAAGTTCTTCTAGCAGTTTTATGGGTTTAAGTCTTACACTCATGTTTTAATCCATTTTCACTTATTTCTATGTATGTTGTGAGCTAGTGGTCCAATTTCATTCTTTTGAATGTCACTGTCCAGTTTTCCCAACACTATTTATTAAAGAAACTGTCCTTTCTCCATTAGATATTCTTGGCTCCTTTGTCATAAATTAATTGACCATATATGGGTGAGTTTATTTCTGGGCTCTCTATTCTGTTCCACTGATCTATTGTTTCTGTTTTTATGCCAGTACCATACTCTTTTGATTACTATAGTCTTTAAATATATTTTGAAATTGGGAAGTGTGCTGCCTCTGGTTTTGTTCTTTCTCAAGGTTGGCTTCAGTAAGGTTGGCTATTCAAGGTTTAGGGTGTTTACATACAAATTTGAAGATTATTTGTTCTATTACCATAGGGATTGCTTTGAACCCATAGATTGCTTTGAGTAGTACAGGCATTTTAACAATATTAATTCTTCCAGTCCATGAACATAGACTATCTTTACATTTATTTGTGTCTTCTTCAATGTCTTTTAGCTTTCAGTGTACGGGACTTTCACTCCTTGGTTAAATTTATTCCTAGGTGTATTATTCTTGATTTAATTGTAAATGGAATTGTTTTCTTAATTGTTATTTCCCACTAGTTTTTATTATCAATTCTTTCTTGTTATTTTCCCCTCATTATCCACCTTTATTTCTCTGATTCATTAGTAAAATAAGCCCCATACCAAAATCAACTCCCTTGTCTTTCTTTCCCTCTGTTGCTCTCCCCAGACAAAAACCCAGATGAACCTGAAACATGCCTATCCTCTCTGTACCAATATAGCTCTGCATTTCAAGAGAAATATCATGCCTTAAACTCTTGGTCACTAACCTCAGACAGTCTATCACCACTACCCAGCAATCCTCCAATGTTTCTTCAGCATACTCTCTCTTACATTCTCTTTGCTCCTCAGACCTCCCATTCTTCTTTCTCACTCATTTTCAGTTGACCATAAGTCCACTTTGTTGAGAACCATCCTTATACAAGGTAAGGAACTCTTATTTTAAAGCAGCACTATTGACATGTTTAGCCAAATATGTTTTGTAATGGGGAATT